GCCAGAGAGATAACATGAAAACACACACACACCCTGGGGCCCAGGGGGATGGCCACATCACAACCCCATCTCCTTCATTTTCCTCTTAGGATTTTGGACACACACACACACATACACACAAACGTGCGCGTGTACGCATGTGTTTTTCAAGCCCCCAGGTCCAGGACTCGAACTGTGTAGTCAGCCACATGAGATCCAGCCACCTTAACTACCATGCCACTGGCTGTCCTGAGGTTTTAGACCAGTTTGGCTACAATGAGAGAACTGAGTGATGAGGTGATCCTAGTTAGGTGGTTATTTCACAAAATCAGGAGGAAATGCTGGTGGCTTGTATCAGTGTAGCTGTAGTGAGAATGGAAGAAAAAGAAATGTTTAGGAGGTAGAATTGTTCGAATTTGGTGGCTGATTGGATATTGGTGATTGGTAGAGACATGTGAAGGAGATGGAGGAGACTAGGAGGATAACATCTGGCTCCAGTAATCGATGGATAGTAGTTCTAATCCTTAAGATAGGGAGTACTAGAGGAGCAGTTTTGGGGATAGAATGATTGCTTCAGTTTTGAACATGCTGAGTTTGAGGTATCTCATTTAAGGTTCTTCAAGTAGAAACATCCACATAGGTCAGGAGGTCAAGAGAAGAGCGGGCTGCACACATGTAATCAATGACCTCTGTGTAGAGACAAAGGTCATGGGATTGGCTGTGGTCACCAGAGAGGGGATGAAAAGTGAAAAGGAAAGAGGGCTGAGAGCAGAGTCCGGGGACCACCAACATTTCAGGGACTTGGGCTCTCGTGCTTTAGGAACATATAATTAATTAGTAAAGGCAGATGTTCTTTTTTATTAGTTGGGAAAAGACATCGTATATATTTTCAGTGCAAATTGTTCTTTTATTTATTTTTTTTTTTACCTTATTCTACTACTACTTTCCCTTCACTTCTGCCACTTACTATGTAATCTTGAACATGTTATTTAACTTCTTAGTGCCTCAGTTTCCTGATCTTTAAAAAGGGGACAATGGGGCCAGCAGGTGGCGCAGAGGTTACGTTGCTGGACTCCCACATGGCCAACCATGGTTCAAGTCCAAGACCCAGTGGCTTAAAAATCATGCTGGATGTGTTTGTGCATGCATGCCCAGGATGCCAGGAGGAGGATGGAGAAGGGACTGCAGCATGGCCATCCGGTGACCAACCCCCCTGGGGATGATTTCTCACTTTTCCTTTCACTGTCTCTTTCTGGTGAGCACACATGCCCTAAGGCAAAAATCCTCTTTAAAGCAAAAGGGGGGAGGGAGGGGACGGTAATGTTCCTACCTCATAGTGTTATAACAAGAAGAATTAATATACTAAAGTGCTTGAAACAACCACTGGCCCATAGTATTTACCCAGTAAACATAAACTATGAGAGTAGTCTGTGCATTTGAAAGTCCATGACTTCAGAGGATGGAACCAGACTGAGATCAGTTCTAATCTTTTGACACTTTGACCTCACTGAGCCTCAAGCTTTTCTTTTTTTTTTTTTTCTCCCTTAGCTTTTGCTCTAGGGCCTGTGCGCTCACTGTAGACAGAGAGAGGGGAAAAGTAAGAAATCAGCCCCCAGGGGGGATGGTCACACTACAATCTCTTCCCCATTATCCTTTTGGGATTTTGGGCACATGTGCACATATGCCTGGCATAATTTTCAAGTTGCTGATCCGAGACTTGAACCATAGTCAGCTATGTGGGACCCAGCTGCCTTAACCATCATGCCACCAGTTGGCCTTCAAATTTCTCTTTTTAAGTGAGATTAATAACTTCTACCTTATAGTCAGATAATTTGGAAAGCCCTGCCATGCAAGAGGCATTTACTAAATGGTGCGTTTCCTCCCATTCCTTCTTCTATAGTTGTTAGTTCAGGATCAGACAAGTCTGCTGACTCTGACACCTGCTTTTTTTTTTCTCCTCCTCCTCCGAGTATTCTACAAGATAGTACTGCCCTGTAGATGCTGGTTCCCTAGTAAGGCCTGGGGGCAGAGTGGCAATTAAATATTTACAAACTCTTCAGAACAGACTGCTCTTCTCTAAAGTGGCTTCCTTCTCCACCAATTGACATTCTGAGCAGGGAGAGGTGCCTTGAGTTGTTTGAGAAAGCCAGACCGTGGAGTGAGGATGAAGGAGGAAGCCAAGCAGTAGACTTCTGTGGCTGTAATTTGTCCTTCCTAAAGGAAGGCTTCATATCTTCATATCTCAATTGGAGCAACGGACTTGTAACCCCTCACACACCAGACTCTCATCGGGGGAGTTCTCCAATGCGAATCTGTGGGCCTCACACCATGACCTGAATCTTGCCAGTCTACCCCGCCTCTTCTCCTGCCTTCCCTTTCATGCCAGACCTCACTACCTGCAGTCTGTCTCAACCCTGTGCTTCCATGCCTCAGCACCGATGGCTTTCTCTGCCAAGAATGTACCTCTCCGCCCCACCCCCTTTTGTTGGTCCATTAGGCGGACACATACCTATTCAGCCTCCAAGGAGTTGCTCAAGTCACCTCTTGTAAAAACTTCTCTGCCCTCCCATATGGCATTGTTGGTCCACCCTCCTTATGTCCTCCCATAGGCCTTTGAATGAACTCATATCATAACATCACAGTATGACGTGTCCACACGGTTCTCAGCTTCCGTAAGGCATCATTGACTCCTCAGTGCATTGTACCATGCCTGACTCCAGGGGGTCTTCAGTGTCAGAAGGAAGAACCAAATGTATTGTTGGGTAGATGGATAGACAGATGGATAGACTAATAGGGCTTGCTAAGACAGGGGCTTTAGCTTCACTGAAGGGAGAACAACCCCAATCTCACACCCCAGTCTTTTTGTGGGACCAAGGGTACATAACCTTTGTCTTACACTAAACCTCGGCCACACTAGACTACTTAGTAGCCCTTAAACTCCAGTAGTTCCTTAATAAAAAGGAACTCCCTCCCATTTCAACACTCCCTTCCCAGAAATTTATATTCACAAGGATACAGTTCAAAGCAAGGTGGTATGTATTTATTTAAAACCAACTATGAGCAAGGACTTGCAGGGATTCAGTGAGAAGAAACAGTCTAAAAGTACTTTCAGAACGTGACTTTTAAGCTCATTGTCATCATTACCACCTTCATCAACATCTTCACAAATGCAAGATTCTCTCTGGTCCCTCAGATGGTTCCTTCTGGAATTCCTTCAGACTTCATTAGCAATGGAGAGGGAAGGGTGGGCAGAACCTAGAGGAAAATCCCTTCCTTGCCAGGATGCAGTGTTTCCATCATATGGGATTTCCTGGTCCATGGGATTATCTAGGGCCAAATAAATCAGACTCTCTTCTCATAGAACTATGGCATTTGGGGGGGGGGTGTGAAAAAGTTTTTAAAAGAATTATTTAATTAATTTATTATTATTTTTACATGAATTTTGCCAGAGAAAGAGAGGAAGAGTGAGAAAGCAACCCGCCAGGTCTGGGACTGGAACAGCTGTTGGCCATGTGGGAATTCCAGTGCCTTAACCACCACACCACCTGCTGGTGGGGGAGGAGTGAAAATTTATAACACAATAGTTAAGTGCTAGGGACCAGCAAGTGACATGGTGGTTAAAGGCGCTAGACTCACACATGGCTGACCGCGGTTTGAGTCACGGACTTGGTGGCTTGCTTTCTCTATCTCCCTCTCCTCCAACCTGTCCCTCTCTAATCAAATTAAAAATAAGTAAATACATTAATAAAGTTAAATAAAATAATTCTTTAAAAAAATAGTTAAGTGCTGTGCATAGGGAGCCAGATTCCACATGGCCAACCATGGTTTGAATCCTGGCCCTGGCAGTTTGAAAAACAGTCCGGGTACATGTGCACGTGTGTCCAAAGTCCTGCTGGGATGGAGAAATGGTGGAAAAGGATTGTCGCATGACCATGCCCCATCCCCTCAGGTTTTTCTATGCCATGGCTAGTCTGAGAGAGGTGGAAATGCATGCCTCCACCCTTTCTTCACCAACCAGCACTAGTGGAACTTTGTGACTTTCTCTCTCTCTGTCTCTTACACACACAAACACACACACACACACACATGTGCACGCACCTCTGGCAATATTTTCTAAAAAGGAAACGAAAATTAGGTTCACATAGGTATTAGAATCACCTTGAATGAAAAGAGTTAAAGCAAATGTGTCTCATGCCACAGGATCCTCAGATTTCTGTTAGCACACATAGGCCACTTCCCCTTCAGTCCTTGTTCAGCACCAGCTGGGCTTAGAGGCACAGAGTCTTCTTGGACTGGACCTGCCATACCTTCAAAGCAGATGGGCTCTACTGGGTCTATCTCCATTGCCTCATTCCTGAAGACAAGATGGGCTCTTACGAATTGTGCTTGTTCAAGGCTTAAGTCTTGGTCAGGTCTCATCCCAAGATAGTCTCTTCTCCCTGTTGGCATCCTGCTTGGTCCCAGGATGGGCATAGGGCAGAAGCTACGAGGATGTGCGAGAAGCCAGGCAGCATTGAGGAGACCCACGCCACATGGAGATGGAGATCTACAGAGCAACAGCTGCCCGGGGGACATGGAGAGTGGGCCCTTGGGGAGCGTGGAGAGAAGGCAGGATTCTGAAGGAACCAGTGGATGTTTTGTTAGCCCAGGTTTTTGGAGCAGGTAGAGGGGATGAGAGAGGCTGGGCCAGGAGAGAAGCCATCTGCATTGGTCATTTTGGAAAAGTGGGGCTCACGGGTTGCTGGAGCTACTTTGCAGCGGACTCCATCTAGGCCCCTTCTGGGCTACCTCACATGCCCAGCTGCCCCACCTCCCTTTCTCCTTGGCCCCAGCACCCACAAAATAACGATTAATAATTGTCAGCTAACTCGGAGGCAATCCAACAGTAAGACCCACTCCTTCAGAGCTCCAGGAGACCTGCCTGGTACCTGCCTAGACCAGCCTGCAAGTGCTTGGCTCTCAGCTCTCTCCTGCTGTCCCTAGAGCCTCCCTAACCCACATCTGTTTGTCTCTCCCCACAGTCCCACCCCCTGTACCTGTGCAATGCCAGTGATGACGACAATCTGGAACCTGGATTCATCAGCATCGTCAAACTGGAGAGCCCCCGGCGGGCCCCCCGCCCCTGCCTGTCATTGGCCAGCAAGGTGGGTTCACAATGACCCTACACATGTCTTGAACTTCACCCAGCTCTGGCTGCGAGAGGCCCTGTGCTTTCTCATGTCCCCTGGTCTCTTAAGAGTGATGTCCCCATCCCCTCAGGTTTTCTTAGCCCACGGCTGATCTGAGAGAGGTGGAAATGCATGCCTCCACCCTTTCCTCACCAACCAGCACTAGTGGAACTTCGTGACTTTCTCCCGGGCAGGTTCCCCACCCCACCTCTTCTCCTATCACTTGGGAGTCCTTAAACCCTGTCCTCTTCCAGCACCAGACCAGAGGTCTGGTGAAGGGTTCTTCCATCTTTCAGATATTTCTGAAAGAACCAGAAGAAACAGAAGCCATTGCCCCATCCTTTAAAAGCTCACCTTTTTTTTTTCTGAGGTTGCAGCTATCCCACAAGCTGGGTTTGGCTTGCAGGTGTGTTTAGCTCTCACAATGACTTTTCAAAATAGAAATTAACTGGCACATTTAAAAACGAAAAATCGTCATACAAAAATCCAGACTTCAGGGCAGCAGATGGCGTGATGGTTAAGGGTGCTGGACTCCCATTTGGCTGACTCTGGTTCGAGTCCTGGACCTGGAGGTTTGCTTTCTCACTTTCTCTCTGTCTTTCTCTAGAAATGTTAAAATAATAATAATAAATAAAGTTAAATAAAATAATTCTTTAAAAAATCCAGACTTCAGCTTCTCTGGCAGAAAACTCTTGCCCACATTTCCACAGACCACAATCTGTGGGAGCTAGGTAAGGGCCACCCCCTTCCACAGCTGTGGACTCTGTCCTGCCTCACACTGGCCTGCCACCATGCAGGCCCTGTAGACATTTGTGTCTGTAACCCCTGTTTTCACCATTCTGGTGGCTTGTGGTAGGCACACATTCTCCTCTTGGGATTTTGAGTATGCACATACATGCGCCCGGCATGAGTTTTAAACTGCCAAGTATGGGACTCAAATGACGGGCGACTACATGGGAGTTTAGCGACATGACCATTATGCCATCTGCTGGTCCCGGTTTTTCATCTCAGCTCTGTTGCCTTCCATTCTAGCTGGGGAAACTGAATGTATGTGTGAGTGAAGGTAGATTATTTTTTGGTACAGATGAGTGTGATTAGGAGAGGGAGTCCTTCTCCTGGGGTGAAGAGCAGGGAGAATGATACTCCTAACCTTTGTGCCGGCTCCTTGTAGTCAGAGCCAGGTCTCTTGGGAGTCTCCTGATCCTCCAGCTACCTAGCCTCAAGGAAACAGATTGAGTTCTTACCTCATGCCTTGGGGGGCAAGAATGTGGGCAGGATTCTGAATGTGGTGTCCTCAGACAGCGAAGATGTTCTCCTGGCCTGGCCGTGCTGATGCAGAAGGGGCCCCGGGGGAGGTGAGAAGTAGGGGCTGGGGGAGCAGGCTTTCAGGGTCCTGAAGAGCAGTAGAATTGTGTTAGGCTGAAGCTTCCCCACTTGTGAATATTTAATTTCCCTTGCTTTATAAAATATGGTGAACTATTCATATATCCTTTTGATAAGTTAGTGCTCAGGGCCTGCTCTGTGTTATTAGTGTGTAAGTCTGACTGTTTGTGAGATGGTGGGGGGTGGGTAAGAAGGGTTCAGAGAAGCTCTGCTGTTCTTTCATTTTCTCTTTACCTATTGTAAATGCAATATATGTGGGAACTTCAAAAAGTTCATGGAAAGAACCAGAATTAAAGTACAAGTTTATTTTGGTGCAAAAAAAAAAAAAAAAGAGAGAGAGAGAGAAAGAGAAATCCATGCATAGTTTTCTCATAATATACATTTTTTCTATGAAATTTTTGAAAGCCTCTGGAAATTTTACAGAAAAGTGTCAACAAGTTCTTAGCAATATTTAAAATTCTGCCACATGGAAGGATGCATCACATTGGAGGTTTCCTTCTCACCTCCTGGAGGACCAAATGCCTCTAGGAGAGATGAAGCAGACACAGACACAGAAGCCAGGAACATGTGGTCAGTGCCCTTTGATGTACTTAACCTTGTTGGGCCTTTGTTTCTAGCACCATAAACAGCACATGTATTTGCTACCAGCATGGTTATTGTGAGGATGCATATAATGTATGTCAAGCACCAAACAGTGCCTGCGCTAAAACAAACATGAACACACACACCTGTTGGGGCTTAGAAGAACCTCTACCACTGCCCTATGGCCAGGGCCGTCGTACTCACTCTCAGGCATCTCCTTGCCACTCTGTGGGAATTGCTCTTGCCTGAGCTCACTGAGGCTTCCAGTGAGTCAGGGCCAATGCTTTCCTCAGGTGTCATCCTTTGACCTGAACTAGTAGCACTTATCTGAGATCCCCTGGTTCAAAGGAAGACTATCAGGATAGTGATCTGGGTCTTTGAGTTATTTCCAATATTTCAGAAGTCCCACACGCTTAACTAAAGTATTTGTTTTTGCTTTTTGTTTTGTTTTGTTTTGAGAGATTTTTGCTATAGGGTGTGTATACTTGCCAGAGAGACAGAAAGCAAGAAATCACCCCCCGGGGGAATAGACATGCCTCAATCCCTTCTCCTCCATTTTCCTCTCAGGATCTTGGGCGCACATACATACATGCCCAGCGTGAGTTTTAAGCCACCAGATCTAGGACTCGAACTGTAGTCGACTATGCGGGAGTCCAATAATGTAACCATTACACCATCTGCTCATCCTTGTTTTGCATTTTGTTGAAATTTCATCAGTTCAATGTAGTAATACAAGTTATCTTGTAGGAAAATGAATTGTATATAATAAATGTAATTAATTAGTTTGATAGAATATACATTTTTTAGAGAGATTTATAGGGTGTATGTACTCACCAGAGAGGCAGGAAGAGATAGAGAGACAGAAAGTGAGAAATCACCCCCCGGGGGAGGGGGATGGCCATGCCTGCAATTTATTCAATTCCATTCTCCTCTCAGGATTTTGGGCATGCACGCAAATGCGCCTGGCATGAGTTTAAGCCGCTGGGTCCAGGACTTGAACCACGGTCAACTGCATAGGAGTCCAGTGATGTAACCATTACACCATCTGCTGGTTCCAGAAAATACATATTTTAAAATATGACTGATAGGAGGTATAAAGAAAAGGTGGACGTCCTTGGTGTGGAATGTTTGACAAACACTGACCCTAATCAGCTCTACTCTGACTTTTTCTAACAGTGTCAATAGTGCTGTCACTGGGGCCAGGAAGCAGGGTGGTGGTTAAGAAACTGGACTCCCATATGGCTGACCGCAGTTTCACTTCTGGACCCACCAGCTTAAAAATCATAACAGGCGTGTGTGTCCAAATTCCCAGAGGAGAATGAAGGAGGAGGGAGTGTGGCATGATCATCCCCCCAGGGAGTGATTTCTCACTTTCCCTCTCTCTGTCTTTCTCTGAGGAGTGTGCCCTACGACAAAAACCGTTACAAAATATTGTACCATCACCATTGACAGGGCACTCAAGCCAGGCAACCCTGGGTTTGAAGCCTGACTCCACTACTGCCCTCAGCATGACCTGAGCATTTTGACTCATTTCTCCAACCTTTGTCTCATCATATGTTAAAGGGGAATAATGAATACTGATGGAACTCATGTTATAAGTGGTTATGTGGATTGAACAAGACGGAATGGTCTAGTCCATTCATTTGTGCTCCAAAACAGTGTTATCAGCATTATAGTTTTATGTGTGTTCTTTGTTTCCACAACTGGGTTATGAGCTGTTCTGGAAGGCCTGGCCTTCCCTGGCTTAGTGCCTTGGGCATGGTATGTACTCAGTTGATCTCTGATGATGAGCTAGAGATATGTCCTTGTGGTCTGGTGAGGATAATCTAAGGCCCAGAGAAGTGCAGCAGCTGACCACTGAGCCCGGTGAGGAAGAGGTGGATTTCAGCTCATTGTCCCAGCTCTCTCTGGAGGGGCTCCTGTTGCTGGAAGCTGAAGGTAGCCTTGCCTGCTGCCTCTAGAGCTGGCTGACTCTTAAGCTTCCAAAGAAGCCTCTGGTTGTCCTTAAGCTCAGTCTTCCTGTCCTGATGGCCTGCCCACCCTCTCTGCCTTCCAGATTCGATCTCTAAAGAAGCACTTTTTCCTTTCTCTTTCTCAGTTTCTGGGGTGCATGTGGACAGGAGGCACAGATAGCCCCAGACTGGGCTGCCATATGTCCCCAAATCCTGGTTTTTATACCTGGACCTCTCGATGCAGGAACCCACTGCCCAAAAGTCCTATTTGCTTCCCCTGTTGGCTAACTCTGCGAGCTCTTTGATCACTTTTACAACTTCATAATTATGGGCTGTAATGGGCTGGGGTGTTTGAACGTCACAGTAATTGCTTTCCACTGTTCCTACCCCAATCCTTCAAAGAGAGAGGGTGGAGAAGTAAGAAAATCTCCAGAGAAATACATTTGCCCCCTCTAGCCTCACCTCCTGCTATTCCAGGCCAGGCTGAACTCAGGGTCTCATTCTGAGGTGCCAGGAGTCCCAATTCCGTGACTATTGGGTGACCTCTGCCCTTGGCCAAGTTCCAGACATATGAGATTGGCAGTAGCATTACCCTACCAGGGACTTCTTTTCCGCTGCTTCTGCTCCCAGATTCTTGCTTGGAGGACTCTAAAGACTGGGGTTCCTCTTCTTCCCTGCAATAGCCAAGGTGGGAGGACTCCCTGGGAGGAAGTGGGTGGGGAGATGGAAGCTGAGACCTCTCCATTTCTGCAGTCATTTCATTCCGGAGTCCTGTGAATTTCCACTCAAGTAGCCTGGCAAGCCTGGGCCTAGGCTAGGCCTGGGTGCAGAGGGAGGGCCTGGCTCAGCTCCTAGGGGAGGGAAGAAAGAAAGAGGGAAGTTATTCTCCTACCAAAGGAGGCCCCACTTGAGTATCTCTACTGCCCCTCACCCCCAGCTCCAGGCAACGGGTTTTTAGGGGCCCCTTGGCCCTTGTCATTGCCCAGGGAGTGGGGAGCAGGGAGCAGGGGCTGCTCCCAGCCTGCCTGGCAGGAGACCTGCCCCAACAGGCTCTCCCAGGGAATGCAAGCAGAGATCAAAGAGCTGAAAGTGTGAGTAAGTCCCTGAGCTGGCTCCTCTTCCTGCCACCACTACTTGCAGGATTAACTCCTTCAGAGACTGAGCAGGGGCCCTAGAGGAGTGACTAGATGGTCTTTTGCTCTTGGAGGAAGGCCAAAGGGTTGCCCTACAGGCCCAGGAGATGCAACACTAAGGCCAGAAGCAATTCCCTCCTGTGTCTGTCTGTTGGTCGTTTGCCTCCACCCTACCCTTAGCTCTTATCTCCCCACTTAGCCCATACACAGGACCCCTAGAGTTCAACTTTTTGTTTTCTTTCCAGCTCTGCCGCCTGTTCTGCCTGGTTGGGTGGATTCTGGTTCTCAAGTCTGCTTTGGAGCCCTTAGTGCCACGCATGTGCCCACACACAGTGGTGTCCTTGCGGGAACAGCCTCTTGAATTCCTCTCCACTGAGTTGCTAATGCTACCCAAAGGGAGAGGGTGAAGGGATAAGCACTGGACACGGACTCCTCCAAGTCCTTGAATTGGAGCCAGAGAAAGAGTGGCCAAGCAGAGCATGGAAGGGGGAGAGAGCCTGCTAGATGAGCTGAAGCTGGGCTGTGTGGTAGAGGTCTCATGAGCGAGCAGATACCTGCAGGTGCCTCTCATCAGACAGGGCCGGCAGGCCCAGCTCTGTCAGCAGGTGCTCTCTACTTCTCTGTCTTCCCCTCGTCCTCTGTACTCCTCCCAAGGGGAGCTTGGCGCTCTCTGTCTGCACATCTCTCATGAAGGCAGATTGACTGAATTTCCATGGTAGGGACCACATCATTTATCCTTAGTCCAGATTCAGTCAACCACCAGTAAACTCTTGTGAAGGGTTTGTTCTGTTACAAAAGGAAAGACTGAATGTTGTCCTATGGAGGCAGCTGGAGCCAGGTGAGCTCAGGGGTGGTGTGGGAGATCTCAGTCCCACGGGCCCCTGGTGTGTGTCTGTGTGAGTGTGCAGAGGTGCAGTGTGTGCAGAATCCTAGGAAGGGGTGGAACTGGGGGCAATGAGGCCGGGCCATGGACAGGCTGTGTCCTCCTCTGACTCTAACCAGAACTCGGCTGTGTGTCTCTGCAGGCCCGGATGGCGGGCGAGCGAGGAGCTAGTGCTGTCCTCTTTGACATCACTGAGGATCGAGCTGCTGCTGAACAGGTATCTAAGGACACTGAGGTTTTCCAGGAGGGGGCTGAATGGAGGAACATAAAGCTCCCAGGGAAGGGAGAAGTCACAGAAGCCTTTGCGGCCATTGTCCTTCCTACAGCTACAGCAGCCCCTGGGGCTGACTTGGCCAGTGGTGTTGATATGGGGGAGTGACGCCGAGAAGCTGATGGAGTTTGTGTACAAGAACCAAAAGGCCCATGTGAGGATTGAACTGAAGGAGCCCCCAGCCTGGGTAAGCACTCCAGACCTCCAGTCCCTTCCCGTGCACCTACCCTCACCTCAATTTGTCTTGTGGCAACTCCCACTAAAAGAGAGAGTGGAGACCGCTGATCCAACTTCATCAGGATGCCTCGGGAGGAGTTTCTGTCCCTCTCTGGGCCTCATTTGTAGGATGGATTGGGCCTGGTGGGCTCTAAAGTTGTTTTCAGCTCTATGACTTCATGGCATGGAATAGCACAGCCAGAATGAAACCCTGGCCCCTGTTGGTGTCTCTCCAGTGGCTGAGAACCTTACCCAGTGCCTCACTGGCTCCCACCTTGTAGAAGCTCCCTTCCCTTCCCAAGCATATGGGTTTGCAGATAGTACTCCCAGCTGACATCTGGAGGACACTCTTGTGAGTGCCCTTGGGCAGAGAGGGACCACCTAACCTTGGGTGCAGGTTCAACTCCACCTCATCCCCCAACCCGGAAGATTAAGGAAATGTTTAGTCCCCTGTGTCTCCTGAGTTTCTGTGTTTTCTCTTAAATTGACCCAGCTTCTTGCAGAAGTATGATCCCTTCCCTCTCTGCTCACTCCTACAGCCAGATTATGATGTGTGGATACTCCTGACAGTGGTGGGCACCATCTTTGTGGTCATCTTGGCTTCAGTGCTGCGAATTCGGTGCCGCCCCCACCACAGGAGGCCGGTGAGTAGTTGGGTCCCCAGATAGAGGTGGGCATGTGAAGATTTGTGGAAGGGTGAGGGCAGGAAGGAGAAAGTAAGGAAGTCTTATGTGCATGGAACAGTTTCCATTCAAATACCATAGCATCTGTGTTTGTTGACGTCTAGCAGCCTGTCCCTATAGGCTTGCTCATTCATTCATTCATTCATTCAAGAAATACTGAGTTCCTATTGTGTGTAGGAATTATTCCAGGTACTGGGGACAGTGTAGCAAAGAGAATGACAAAAATTCTCTACCCTCAAGGAGCTTTCATTCTAGTGAGAAGAAATAGACAATAAAATAAATAAATACATAGTATTTTAGATGGTGGTATGTGCTACAGGGGAAAAAAAATAGAAAAAGGAGAAGGAATGCAAGGAGATAGGGTCAGTTTTTAAAAGCAAGTCCAGAGAAGGCCATATTGACAAGATGACATAGCCAAGACCCTGAGGGGACAAGGTCTGTGCAGCTGTCTGGGCAGGCAGTGATTGAGACAGACAGAACATGCGTGCAAAGGTTCGGAGGCAGATGCAAGCCTGGCATGTCTGAGGAATAGCATGAAGGCTGGAATAGAGGGAGGGAGAGGGTGGGGCAGAAGGTGGGGTCAGAGTTCACGGGGCCTGGTTGTAGCAGACTGTTCAGGCCATTGTCACGATTTTTATTTTCACTATGGTTGAAATGGGAGCCACTGGAGGGTTGTGAGCAGAGAGAGTGCCTGACTCAAGTTTGTTTTGTTTTGTTTTAGAGAGATTTTTGCTATAGAGTGTGCACTCGCCAGAGAGAGAGAAAGCGAAAATCACCCCTTGGGGAGTATGGCCACACCGCAGTCCCTTCTCCCCCGTTTTCCTCTCGGGATTTTTGGCACACACGCACACAAATGCACCCACCATGAGTTTTAAGCCTCCGGGTCCAGGACTCAAACTGCAGTCGAGTGGGAGTCCAGCAACATAACCATTATGCCACCTGCTGGTCCCCTGACTCAGGTTTTAACATGATCACTTCTACAAGTGGGAGGCAAGGCTGGGGACAGCAAACCAGATGATAGTAATGGTGTCTTGTATTAGGGAACCAGCAGTGACAGTGATGAGAAATAGATTCTGGGTATATTTTGAAGGCAAACCCAACAGTTTTGCTAATGGTAGGTTGTGGGGTGTGAGAGACAGAAGTCAAGGATGGCACTAAAGTGTTTGGCCTGAGTAGAGAAAAGAATGAAATTGCTGTTTACCGAGATGGGGGAGACTAGGGGAAAACAAATGTGTGTCTATGGTGGTTAATAGGATTAGGGGTTCTGTTCGGGGCATGTTACATCTGACATGTTTATTACAATAGATATGCAACTGAAGCTCCCTTCCCTTCCCAAGCATATGGGTTTGCAGATAGTACTCCCAGCTGACATCTGGAGGACACTCTTGTGAGTGCCCTTGGGCAGAGAGGGACCACCTAACCTTGGGTGCAGGTTCAACTCCACCTCATCCCCCAACCCGGAAGATTAAGGAAATGTTTAGTCCCCTGTGTCTCCTGAGTTTCTGTGTTTTCTCTTAAATTGACCCAGCTTCTTGCAGAAGTATGATCCCTTCCCTCTCTGCTCACTCCTACAGCCAGATTATGATGTGTGGATACTCCTGACAGTGGTGGGCACCATCTTTGTGGTCATCTTGGCTTCAGTGCTGCGAATTCGGTGCCGCCCCCACCACAGGAGGCCGGTGAGTAGTTGGGTCCCCAGATAGAGGTGGGCATGTGAAGATTTGTGGAAGGGTGAGGGCAGGAAGGAGAAAGTAAGGAAGTCTTATGTGCATGGAACAGTTTCCATTCAAATACCATAGCATCTGTGTTTGTTGACGTCTAGCAGCCTGTCCCTATAGGCTTGCTCATTCATTCATTCATTCATTCAAGAAATACTGAGTTCCTATTGTGTGTAGGAATTATTCCAGGTACTGGGGACAGTGTAGCAAAGAGAATGACAAAAATTCTCTACCCTCAAGGAGCTTTCATTCTAGTGAGCAGAAATAGACAATAAAATAAATAAATACATAGTATTTTAGATGGTGGTATGTGCTACAGGGGAAAAAAAATAGAAAAAGGAGAAGGAATGCAAGGAGATAGGGTCAGTTTTTAAAAGCAAGTCCAGAGAAGGCCATATTGACAAGATGACATAGCCAAGACCCTGAGGGGACAAGGTCTGTGCAGCTGTCTGGGCAGGCAGTGATTGAGACAGACAGAACATGCGTGCAAAGGTTCGGAGGCAGATGCAAGCCTGGCATGTCTGAGGAATAGCATGAAGGCTGGAATAGAGGGAGGGAGAGGGTGGGGCAGAAGGTGGGGTCAGAGTTCACGGGGCCTGGTTGTAGCAGACTGTTCAGGCCATTGTCACGATTTTTATTTTCACTATGGTTGAAATGGGAGCCACTGGAGGGTTGTGAGCAGAGAGAGTGCCTGACTCAAGTTTGTTTTGTTTTGTTTTAGAGAGATTTTTGCTATAGAGTGTGCACTCGCCAGAGAGAGAGAAAGCGAAAATCACCCCTTGGGGAGTATGGCCACACCGCAGTCCCTTCTCCCCCGTTTTCCTCTCGGGATTTTTGGCACACACGCACACAAATGCACCCACCATGAGTTTTAAGCCTCCGGGTCCAGGACTCAAACTGCAGTCGAGTGGGAGTCCAGCAACATAACCATTATGCCACCTGCTGGTCCCCTGACTCAGGTTTTAACATGATCACTTCTACAAGTGGGAGGCAAGGCTGGGGACAGCAAACCAGATGATAGTAATGGTGTCTTGTATTAGGGAACCAGCAGTGACAGTGATGAGAAATAGATTCTGGGTATATTTTGAAGGCAAACCCAACAGTTTTGCTAATGGTAGGTTGTGGGGTGTGAGAGACAGAAGTCAAGGATGGCACTAAAGTGTTTGGCCTGAGTAGAGAAAAGAATGAAATTGCTGTTTACCGAGATGGGGGAGACTAGGGGAAAACAAATGTGTGTCTATGGTGGTTAATAGGATTAGGGGTTCTGTTCGGGGCATGTTACATCTGACATGTTTATTACAATAGATATGCAACTTGGAATGTCACACAGCAGCTGGGTAAAAGTTTTTCTCATGGGACACTGACAGAAGAGCTTAGTGGTATGATCAAGAGGGTGTTACGAGCAAGGCATAGCCTGCTGGGTAGTGCCACGTATGAGCCCCACGGACACAAATCCCCAGGCATGGTAAACTGACTGTGATCTAACTGAGCAATTGGGTACTGTCCAGGCTGGGTCCACAGGGCAGAGCAGAGGAGCCCTTGCCCCTTTCTGACTCCCACTCCTCTTCCCAGGATCCCCTTCAGCAGCGAACAGCCTGGGCCATCAGCCAACTGGCTACCAGGAGGTACCAGGCCAGTTGCAGGAGGGCCCGGGCTGAGTGGCCAGACTCAGGTAGCAGCTGCAGCTCAGCCCCTGTGTGTGCCATCTGTCTGGAGGAGTTTTCTGAGGGGCAGGTAAGGCAGGCCTTATGGTTCACCGCTGTGACCCAGATGGGGAGGGAGACTGAAGCTGGGGCAGGGTGGGCAGGCTTAGGGCTGACATAGGTACCTTGGCTGCATCTGCACCATGTGCATCCTGAGTGGGGCAGAGGTGGGGAATCTCCCTGAGGTTGGTCACTTTCCTGGCCTTCCAGGCAATGAGCACTGCTGTTCGTTGCAATGTACCACGTGCTGGGCCTCAGCGGCGCTTCACATGTGTTATCTCACTTTACAATAGCCGCATGGCCATGAAGGGTGGGAGTAGATTAGTTTTTATCCTCATTTTACAGCAGAAAACTGTTAGGAAACTTGCCCAAAGTCATACTAAGTGGTGAAATCCAGGTCTATGGATACCAAAGCTTTTATCTTTTCTATTCTACTGTGAGGGTTTTTTATAAGAAGGTAATGGTAAGAGAGAGGTGCCAGAGAGGATTGGGGGACGTCCTGGTTACTGGCCACTCCCATGGCTACAGAAACCTTTGGACTGGACCCTCTTGTTTTCTCCAGGAGCTACGGATCATTTCCTGCCTCCATGAGTTCCACCGTACCTGTGTGGACCCCTGGCTCCATCAGCATCGAACCTGCCCCCTCTGCATGTTCAACATCGTAGGTAGGAGGCGGGCTAGAGATTTCCCTAAGTGCAGGTGGATGGATCTAAGTCGTAGCTTCCCTCCGAGGAAGCTGAGGGGAAAGCAGACCTGCTGAGACCGCCATTTAGGCTCCCAGGATGGCCATAGACTACTCTAGAGTATTGGTCTGAGGGGAGGGCCACTCACACTGCAGACTTCCTTATTATTTAAAAACCATTTGTGTTTTTATGACAGCATATTCTATTCTAAATCTGGGTGATTTCTATACTTATTCTTCCAATTTTCTGGCAATAAAGTAATATTCTAACAAAATTAGTATAACAATTTTCTAAAAGATGAAAGTGAAATATCTCAAGGAAAGAGAATCTTTTTCTAATTCACCCAAAGGCACAGTGTGGGCTAGGGGTGACTCTGAGGGAAAGCGCCCCAGATGGCTGGTGGGCAGAGCAGGGAGCAACATGCATAGTGGAACTCCCAGAATGACCTGGCTGGAGGGAGGAGGGGAGTCCCAGGCACAGACGGCTTAGGGATGTACTTGGTCCCCCAAACTCTGAGCTCATAGACTATGCAGGGTCAAATAGGTTAGCCACAGCCACCCTCTCCGAATGCATTCTCCATAGGTTTGTGGAGTCGAACACCTATGCTCTTGGTTCTTTTTTCCAGAGGGAGATTCATTTTCCCAGGCCCTGGGACCCTCTCGATCTTATCAGGAACCAGGTCGGAGACTTCACCTCATTCGTCAGCATCCGGGCCATGCCCACTACCACCTTCCTGCTACCTACCTGTTGGGCCCCTCCCGGAATGCAGTGGCTCGACCCCCACGATCTGGTCCCTTTCTACCATCCCAGGAGCCAGACTTGGGCACTCGGCCCCATCGTCACCCCAGAGGCACACATCCCCGGGCTCCGGGGGAGCCACAGCACCTGTCGGCGGCCCAGCACCCCTATGCACAGGGCTGGGCACTGAGCCAAGTCCGATGTACCCCACAGCACCCTGCTGCTTGCCCAGCAACCCTGCGTCGGACCAGGCCTCATGACAGCAGTGGGTCTGGAGAAAGCTACTGCACAGAGCGCAGTGGCTATTTGGCAGACGGGCCAGCCAGCGATTCCAGCTCAGGGCCCTGTCACGGCTCTTCCAGTGACTCAGTGGTCAACTGCACAGACATCAGTCTGCAGGGCATCCATGGCAGCAGCTCCACCTTCCGCAGCTCCCTGAGCAGTGACTTTGACCCCTTGGTGTACTGCAGCCCTGAAGGGGATCCCCACGGGGAGGAGATTCATCCTAGTGTAACCTCTCGGCCCCGTTCCTTGGACTCGGTGGTGCCCACAGGGAAAACCCAGGTTTCCAGCCATGTTCACTACCACCACCACCGGCACCACCACTACAAAAAGCGGTTCCACTGGCATGGCAGGAAGCCTGGCCCAGAAACTGGAGTCCCCCAGTCCAGGCCAGTTGTCCCTGAGACACAGGCACAGCCAGAGCCCCCTTCTCCTGATCAGCAGGTTACCAGATCCAACCCAGCAGTCCCTTCAGGGCAGCTCCCCAACACACGGCGACCCAGGACCCTCATGGAGCCAGCTCCTGGCCCAGCTGAAGCCTCCAGCCCTGACTGCAGTCCTGGCAGTCTTTTCAACTTGCAGAAATCCAGCCTTCCTGTCCGACACCCACAGAGGAAACGGCGGGGGGGTCCCTCAGCGCCCCCCCCAGCCTCTCGGCCTCAGGACTTGACTGCACACCCAACTTGCCAGATTCTTCCCCACATCGGTCCCAGTCTGGCATACCCTTGGTCCCCAGAGGCCCACCCACTGATCCTCAGACCTCCAGGCCTGGACAGGAGGCTGCTACCAGAAACCTCAGGCTCCTGTTACTCGAACTCACAGCCAGTGTGGTTGTGTCTGACTCCATGCCGGCCCCTGGGACCACACCCGCCTGGGGAGGGGCCCTCCGAATGGAGTTCTGACACCCCAGGAGGCAAGCCGTGTCCTTACCCACACTGCCAGGTGCTGCCAGCCCAGCCTGGTGAGTTTTCAGGGGAAGCGGGTATGGTGGGGAGGAGAGACTAGATCTGGAGATTGCAGGACAGCTGGAGTCAGCCATTGAGGGGCTGATGGAAGCTGAGGATCCAGCAGAGGTGACATCCAACGTACTGAACAACTGGCACAGCCTGAGACGTTGGCTGCAGCACTGGAGGGCCTGGGCTCTGCCAGCTTCCGTTGCCAAGTCAGAGGGAAGCCCTTGGGAGGTTCAGTTCTGTGGCTGAGGCATCGCAGCAGTACTGGGAGTGGTTTGGGGCAGCAGCTCAAACTGGTTTAATATTGTAATGATTGGTGCAGCTTTACCAATGCTCACAGCTCAGTATTGGCTCTAAATACAAGGAAGGCCAAAAACTGTTCCTTGAGGGAGTACCTGACCTTAAAGGAGAAATAATTACAGATAACATAATACTAGGCTATGTGAGAATGTGGAAAATAAAAAGAAATCACAGGTGGTTCCCAGAAGCCCTGCGGGTCCTTAGGTTCCTCTCAGCTGGGTAAAAGAACTAGGACTTCCCTTCCAAGCACCATTAATAAGATCAACCTCATTTTCCTGGAAACTCAGCGCGTCCCTGAATTAGAACCAATGGTGATAGTGTAAATTCTCAACTTAACTTAGTATTTATTTGCCCAAATACTCTTCTTCCCCTTCTGGCTCTCCACCTCCCACTCTTCCCCATCTTCGCTCATGTGCAGCTAACACAGCTCCTGGTCTACAACCCTGCTGGGAAAACCCTTCCACCCCAAAAGGAAGCCCAAAGATCCTGAAATATAAAGCCTCATGGTCTAGGAACCCTGTGGGCCACACCTGAGAGCTGCTATCACTCATTCGTTCATTCATTTCCTCCCTCTCACCCTTCCTTTTCCCTTCCGGTGTGTGCTCGCTCTGTGCTAGTTTCAGGTTAGGCTTTGAGGGCATGGAGCTTGCCAACCAGGATATCTTAGCCATGTGTGTGATGGTATTTTTTTTTTGGTTATGTTTGGATCCTGTCATGTGTACTTTCATCAATGCCCAGCCACCACTCCCTTTCTCCCCAACGCAGAACTTGTTTCAGTGCCTCCCTTCCCCTCACCCCTCCCATGTGGTCAGTGCCTGGTTCTGTCCACCGTCTCTGCTAGCTTCGTCATATTCTCAAGTCTGGTACAACGCCCCCTGCCAGTGACTTAGGGACGGCGTGGGGATCGCTTGAGGAGCCTCCTAGTTCTTCCCTTCCCTCTCACAGGACCATGAAGGCTGGTACACGTCCAGGGGGCACCCTCGCCCAGAGTTGTGCAGCACAGCTGCCATGCTCCCCTGCCTCCACACTGCTGCCATAAACTGCCCAGCCGTCTTCAAAGGTCTTCTGGCCACAGTAAGGAAAAAGCCAAGCTGGGTTGACCTTCAAGGATCTAACACCAACTGGTCCATCTTCCTTCCCTCATTTTTCAGTCTTTCTCCTCCCTTCCCCTGCCCTATGCTTTAACTAAACCATGTAAACACTTCTGGAATATCCTACTGCCATCCTTATTCCCTTAAATTCAATTAATGATTACCTATTCCTACAAGTCAGCTCATTTTTTTTTCTTTATTTCTTCCATGAGTGAGTGAGACAAAGACAGCAGGGTTATGATGTCACGATCTACCCTCAGCCTCAGCCAGACCTGCATCACGAGCATGCACATGTCTGGAGTATTCAGGGAAGTATCTGGATGCGAACCCAGAACTTTCCCACGCGAGTCAGCCTCACAGAATGTTGCGCTTTACTGCTACACCACTGTCTGGACCCCAAGCCAGCTCATTTACCCTCACTTCCAGGAAACCGTTCCTGATTGCTGCACATGGACATGGTCTCTCCCCTTCCTCAGTGTTTCTCTTACAACCCCAGTCCCATCCCACTGGCATCATAGCTATCTGTAGGCCTCCTCTCTACAAGGTTGTCGGGTCCCTGCTTATTCTTTTTGGCCTTCTACTTGGCACACGGTAGCAGGCGAAGTTCATGTCAGATGCTTAATAAATATTTATTGGGTGGATGAATGAATAGTAAATAATGGTAACACCCTGGTCGCTATGTATGTTTCTTTCTCTAGATTTGTTTTTCTCTCCCCTGTGTCCCAACTGGGGCCCCTCTCAGCTCTCAATCTAATCACCCTTTCCAGACACATTCCCGACACAGGTGGGAGAAGCTGGAGCCTGGCCTGACCCTCAGTGACCTCTTTCTTCCCCTCTTTCTGAATGCAGGTTCGGAGGAGGAGCTCGAGGAGCTGTGTGAACAGGCCGTGTGAGAGGTTCGGGTCTAGCTCCAACCTACAGTGTGCTCTGGAAGAGTCCTGCTCCTGGGAGAAGAAAGGACCTCAGCACACACCCCCTTTTTGGCCATCCCTCCTGGAACCACTGGAAGAAGAGTGGCAATGGTGGGTGGTGGGAGGCGTCGTTTCCTGCTCCCAGCTGCAGACCTTGACTGGGGAACACACTTGCAGTGCACCTAGTCTATCCAGCCAGGCACCCAGCTACTGCCGGTGTAGCTGGATGGTGACTAGATCCACTGAAAGCTGAGTTTTCTGAGGGCAGGAAGCTAGGTATGGGTAGATGAGTGTTATAAAGATGCTGCTCCTTCTCCCAGCCGTACAGGTCTCCCTGGTCCCAGGCCTCATGTTTGTATCAGGCAATGGGTCAGCCGAATGTGTGACCCCCTACCCCACTCTCCTTTTGTGAGCTCAGCACACCAGCTTTGGCCCCTCCCCAGTCAAGCTGCTGCATCGGGAGCGACCCTGGTGCTATCGTTTCCTTCCTTGCTGATGGACCAGGAGTATAGGTGAGCCCTAAGCCTTAAAAAGGGGGACCTCTATAGCTTCTCCAGGCAGTGCCTGCCCTTATGCATATGGAAGAATGTTTCCTCCTTCTTGTCCTTAAAAAGGGGTCTTAAGTTGTCAGATGCACTGTATTAAGTCAGAGAGGAGTTTCTGGGAAGCCACGGTGTGGAGGTCTGTCCCTGAGGTAGGTACACACCTTGAAGGACTTGGGGTGAAGTTGCTGATCTTCTCGCCATTCCAGCGGCCCCAGTTCCTCTAGAGGTAGTAGGGAGGGAATAACTCTTCCTTGAAGGCCTCCTGTCTCAAAATCCCAAAGCAGGAGGAGAGGAGAGAATTTCTACTAGACTTGATCTGGGAAGAGGCAGGACAGAGTAATGGTAGAAAAAGCAAAATTATAGTTGAGTAGGGAAAATAAAGAGTTCTTCTCTGAGAGAAGATTTTTTGAGAGCAAGGATGGGGAACAAGGAACAAAGGAAAAGCAAAGTGGGTTTGGAGCTCCCCAGTATAAGCCATACAGTCCAGGGACCACCCGGGGTGGTGTGCATCAAGGGTAGAGTTGGAGCAGGAAGTCTGACCTGGGCGACTCTTACCGAGTGGGCAAGGACTGAAGGGCCTTCTTAGGGCAGCCTGACCATTCATTGCTGGCCCCTCAGGCATTGTCCTATTTGGAATGTGAATGTGGGGGCAAAGTGGACACAGGAACCCACTTGGAAATCTTCTTCCCTGAAAGTCAGTGGGGAGACAAGCACCTAGGCACCCACATGGGTATTTATATCTGAACCAGACAGAAAGATGCTTGAATCAGGCACTATGTTGAGAAATGTATTTATTTGCTAATATATTTATCCATAAATGCTGTCTGGTCTTGTGGTTTTGTTCTGTCATGGCTGTCACTCAGGGTAACTTGATCTCCTTTACACTGAAAGAAATAAATTATTTCTGATATCAGAGGCTAGGTTCTGACTTAGGAAAGGACAGAGTGGCGGGCTTGGCAGGAAGAACTGGTTTGTAAACCCCTAAAAGCAAGGAAAGAGAAAACTTGATTGAATTCTTATTGTGATACAGTTATCAGCAATCTGTATCATTATCGTTTCTAAATTGTTTTCTTTGTTAGAGAATGTGTGCACTTGCCAGACAGAGGAAGGAAGAGGGAGAAGGTACCCCCTAAAAGGGGCGTGGTAGTCCCACTGTAATCCCTTCTCTTCCATTTCTCCATCCTATTAAGATTTGGGGCATGCACACCCACATACACACTAGTGCATGCTATTCATGCACACACCTAGAATGTTTTTTAAGCCCCTGGAGCCAAAATTGGAAGCACAGTTGGCCATGTGAGCTTTAGCTTCCCTTAACCATTAGGCTACAGGGCTGGCCTCTTATTACTGTTCTGTTCCCTTTGTTTATTTTACCATGCTTCAGTGCCTTACTTTGCCACCTGGGCATATATGTTCTGTGCTTCATTTTCCCCATTCATAAAATGGGCCTACTTCAGAGTTGTTACAAAGCTTACATGAGACCGTAAAAAGTGAAACATGTTCCAAATGCAAAGTTACTATTCAGTGGTAGAAAACATCCAAACCCCCATCTGAATATGAACACTGCAGGTGTGCCTTGAAGGCCACTTAGGAGGCTGGGCTGGAAGCATAGAACCACAGGACCTGTAATTATTTATACCCTAAAGCTCTAATTCAAACACAAATGACGCACTCTGCCTACACTCCGTGCTGTTGTGAGAACCAAGCCAGCGTATGAAGAATTTCCGAGGACCAAGAGAGGCCTTTGCTCTCTTCCTCACACTGCGCAGTTTCCCCCCTTGTGCCTCTCGGGTAAAGGTCTCGTAGGGGCGGTGGTTGTCTGAGGCCCCATTCTGAACCAGAGAGCGGCTTCCCATGGGATGCAATTTTTTCAAAAAAGGACGAATCTCCTAGAGATGTTCTTTACTAAAGAAACTGTGCCTAAATGCTAAGAGCTGCACAAAGTATAAATTATCAGCCGAAATGAGCAAACGTAAAGAGTTTGTAAAAAGTAATTAAATATGCATTTTTCCGCTGTCGGCTCCCGGGCCTGCATTCCTGTGGACAAACGGAAATCCTACCGCGCTCTCGCAGTTAGGAAGACGTGGGGTGGGCCCTGGCTGTTTTCCTACTCTAGAGATAATCCAGAGGGAGACAGTGGACTCACTGCGCCAGCGCTTTTAAAACCGGAAGGCAAAAAAGAACTATCACGGGGTTCCTCCTAAGGGGACCGGCGGTCGGTGCCAGGGGCCTAGATCAAACAGCCCGCGCCGCC